GTAAAAACCCTACTGTTGTCTCTATGTAAATTTTGTCCAGTAAATACATTGTTCATATGTACGATGGGCTGGCAGGTCTACCTAAGATGCTTGCAGATTTGACTTAGGCAAAATAGTTGGATCAGAAGCTCCATTTTTTTGAAAGCCTTTAGAACAGTTGGAAATAAAAGTGATCTATTCTGTACTTTTGTAGAAACATTTATTCAGTGATTTTGCATCTCCATTTAATTCACCCAATATTAGTTGAACATATTTGTATGCATCTTGTTTGAAAAGATAATTTTAGATTCAGGCATGGTGACATGAGTCTAGAGTCCTAGCTATTCAGGAGGCTGAGGCAAGAGGGTGGGTGAGCCCAGGAGTTTGAAACTAGCCTGGGCAACATAGTGAGACCTTGTATCCAAAAAAATTAATGATTTATTTTTTAATTTTGTTTTAAATTAATTAATTTATTTCAGTACCAGGGATCGAACTCGGGACCTTGAGCTTACAAGACAGGCGCCGGGACCACTGAGCTAAATCCCTGGCCCCTGAAATTAATAATTTAATAGTTATTGAACTAGTTAAGTATTATGAATTTACAAGCTTCCCTTTCAGAAAAGGGTGAAAGAGTTTGTCATTTGAATTAGGCTCCTTTGAATTAGAGAAAAATTTTAGCTTTGTAGTGATAAATAGTTTTAGGAGATTAAAAACTGTCCAAAACTACATGTTTTTATATGTTAAAAATACAAATAAATTAATAAATAATATATCATTTCTAAATTAAGCAGTTAGGATTTTGGGACCCTCTATAAATGTTTTGGTAATACAAAGGATCAGAGAAAAGAGTAATTGTAATCTACTGTATTTCTCTGAAAATAAGACCTAACAGAAAAATTAGTCCTAGCATGATTTTTTAGGATGCTTGTAATATAAGCCCTACCCCAAAAATAAGTCCCAGTTAAGATCACCAGATTGATGGACTTAGTACATCTGATGCAACACAAGATGGATGTATTGAATTTTAAAATAACATTAATATAAAATTAAATATAAATAATATTGGCATTAATACTTAAAATAAATGATAATATAAATTATAATTAAGTATTTGTAAATACACAAGTGGGAGAGAGAGGTAAACACCTGTGTAAACAGATGAACTCAAGGTGTTACCAAGTGACCCAATCAGAGTACAGACACAATGCACGAATAATATATGAGCTTGGTAATGAACAGATGTGGTTGTGTCTAATGTGAATCTTCATAATTCAGTACATTGTGCATTGTAATGGATGTACTTAATGCACTTGTATGCAATAAACGTTTTCTGAAATTTGGTGCCTATTGTGTTGCTTTTGTGTGGACCATCATTCTTAACTATCATTTCTGTTGTAACTCCTGTCTTGAAAGTCTTCAGTTCAATTCACACTTGATTTAAAGGAAACTTTATGAAGCCTGGCCTGCAAGAGGTTGTAATGGGTGAAGAATTCATGGGGTAAAATCGAAGATAGCTATGTTGTAAAAAATGAGCCCTGTTGCGTCTTTTAGAGCAAAAATTAATATAAGACCCAGTCTTTTTTGGAGGGGGAAATATAGTATATCATCAGGCATATGGCTGTTTTTCTTTTGTGCCCAATAACAGCAAAGCTTATAATAAAATTCTGAGCTGAGTGATTAAAATATTACACTTTTCCACTGGGAATTTCACAGTATAGAATTAAGACTTGTCTTTAATTAAGTGTTTTTTCAAATCTGACTCACTTCTAGGTTAATTATGATATATTTTCTTTCCTATTCAAAAGACATGTATTTTTAAGAATATAGTTGGGTGTGGTGGCACATACCTGAAATGCCAGCACTCAGAAGGCTGAGGTAGGAGGATCACTGGGAGTTCTAGGCCAGCCTGGCCTACATAGTGAGTTCAAGGCCTGCCTGAGCTACATAGTGAGACTCTGACTTAAAAAAAAAGGGGGGTGGGGAATGCAAGTTTTGGCTGGCATGGTGGTACATGCTTGTAATCCCAGCACTCTGGGTGGCTGAGACAGGAGGATGGCAAGTTCAAACTCAGGCTGCACAATTTAGTGACTTAGACTATTTCAAAGTAAGTAAATTGAAAAAAGACTGGGATCTGGGTGTGGTGGCACATGTGTGTAACCCTAGCACTTGGGAGGGTGGGGCAGGAGGATCGTTGTGAGTTGAAGGCCAGCCTCAACTAGTAGTGAGACCCTATCTCAAAAAACTGAAAAAAGAAAAGAAAAAAGGTTGGGGATGTAGCCCAGTGTAAAGACCTTGAGTTAAATCGCCAGTGCTGAAAAGAAAATGTGTGTGTGTGTGTGTGTGTGTGTGTGTGTGTGTGTATGTATGTATGTATCTCAAGTTGGATGTGATGGTACACTGAGGTGGGAGGATTGACAGTTTGAGGTCACCCTGAGATATACCCACCTACCCACATACACATGCAGAGTCTGCCAAAGAAATGTTCACACACTTCAGTTCACTGTACTAATAAATGCCTGGAAGCTAATGGCCCCACTTTGAGTACCTCTTGTAAGTGTAGAGGCCAAAGGGAACTTGTATTAATCTCATGATGTCTCAATAAATTTAGTATTAATTATACAAGTTTTTATTTTGCTGATGTATACATTTTTTGTGGACTTTATGTATGTAGCAAGACCCTATCTAAAAAAAAATGTATTTCTTTATCTCTTAGGCTCTACTGACCAGAAATGATTGAAGCGTCAAATATATAGTTATGCAGGGCATTGTGGTACATGCTTGTAGTCCCAGCTACTTGGGAGGCTGAGACAGGAAGATCACTTGAGGCCAGGAATTCAAGGCCAGCCTGGGCAGCACAGGGAAAATTTGAACTTCTGGTTATGAGTAAAAGTGTGTCTATTGCCATAAATTCCAATCTAGAGTTGCTTAATATTCTAATATTTAGACCAAATGTTGAATATGAGACCTGTAAAATATTTACATTGACCTATATTAGAAAATTGTAGTTTCAGTCCCACACTGAATTGTGTGGTTGGTATATGGTTATGTAAATGAAGTACCCTCTAAGATCTCAGAAAATTGGAATAAAATTTTTTTTCTGAGAATTAGTAAAAGCCATTCTTTTTGCTGCTAAGAATTATCTGATGAGTTGAGGGAATGATAAAATTGGTAAGTAATTGGTGTACTTTAATTATAATCTCAGGGAGATAATTCTGAAATACAATCAGAGTTTAGTGAGTGGAAATCTCGTAAATTTTATTGTCATCTTTTCAACAAAGTCTATGAAAAAGAGGATGGTGGTCAGCTTAGAAGATAACAAAGGGAAACCCAAAGTATCAGGAATTGGGCAATTGGCTTGTTGGGATAGAGTTTTGTGATTTATCAGTTTTCTGAGACAGGTACATTCTGGTTTTGGGAAGAGATAATTTTAGTCTGATGTCATTAAATGTTTGAGTCATATAATTATTTCTTTCCTTTGTTTATTCTAGCACATTCTCTACATAAGAATATATTCATCTTCTGATAAGAGCATTCTAGTTGGCCAGACATTTGCATTTCTTATAAATAATAAATTGACAAAAGTAAAGAAAATAAATTTTAAAAAATAAAGAAGTTGAAAAACTAACCTCGTGTCTGCATGTATGTGTTTATGTTTCTGTGAGCTTGGTTAAAGTACACTGATTCTGTGAAAAAGATAATGCTTTTAGTCTTGTTACATCTGATAAGATTTCTTTGCAGCTAGTCCACTTGTGTGGTAGTCTTTTGCATTGCTCCTAAGTCTTAACATTTGAAAACTGTAACACTTTAGGCCATTTAACTTGCGTGGTTTCATCTGTAAAATGAGAATGTTGACCCAATGATTTTCACAGTTCTCCTACTTCTCAGTCTTTATGATTTCATAACATATTAGCTCAGTTGTATCACTGCAGACCTGTAGATGAGAGTTCGAAGGAATTTTAGAGTGTTGAAATATCATTGATGTTACCAATATAACTAAAATTGCAGTTTATTTTTTTCAGTACTAGGGATTGAACCCAGGGAGCATTGAGCTACATCCCCACGGCTTTTTTTTAATCAAATCTGGTCTTGCTAAATTGCCCAGGCTGGCCTCTAACTTGCTGTAATCCTGTCTCAGCCTCCTGAGAAGCTGGGATTGCAGGTGTGTGCCAGCACACTCAGCTAAAAATATTCTTTATTATGGAAAATTTTAAATATATATAAGAGCAACCCCACTTACTTACCCATCAGCTTACCTCAATAGTCATCATCATTCTTTTTTTTTTTGTACTGGTCTGAACTCTGGACCTTGCGCTTGTGGGTCAGGCAGGGGGTGAGGGGGAATGTTTGTTTGTTTGTTGATAAAAGATCTCAATATGTAGATTAGGCTGGACTTGAACTCTCCAAGATTCTCCTGCCTCAGCCCTGAGTGCTGAGATTGTAGGCATACATCACCACATTCAGCATCATGATCATTCTTGTTTCATTTTTTTCTTCTTTCTGCTGCCCTACATTATTTTGAAACAAATCACAGACTTGATGTTGTTTAATCTGTCATTATTCCAATGTGTACCCCTAAGTACTTTAAAAAATGATACTCTAAAGAACTACACATTAAAGAGGGCCAGGGATTTAGCTCAGTGGTTCCACTGCCTGCCTTGCAGGTACAAGGACCCGAGTTCGATCTCCAGTACCAAAAAAAAAAAAAAAAGTACTCATGTTGAAGAATTACACATTAGGGCCAGGGATTTAGCTCAGTGGTTCTGCTGCCTGCCCTGGAAGTGCAAGGACCCGAGTTTGATCCCTGGTACCAAAAAAAAAAAAAAAAGAATTACACATTAAAGAATGCCATGTTTTTCTTAAAGAATGACATGGTTTTGATAAGTTAATTTTACTTCAAAAAAAAAAAAAAAACCTCTGCTACAAATCCCCAGGAAACCTGTTATGTGTAGTTTCTATGCAGTTAAACTTAGTTGTAAAACAATAGGACTAACTTTTTTGTTGTTTTTCTATTTAATATTTAGGCTATCAATATGACAGCAGAAGAAACGGTGAATGTAAAGGAGGTTGAAATTATTAAGCTAATTTTGGACTTCCTGAATTCAAAGAAGCTTCACATTAGTATGCTGGCCCTTGAGAAGGAAAGTGGAGTCATAAATGGCCTGTTTTCAGATGATATGCTTTTCCTGAGGTATGATTTCATTACTGTGAGGTGTGTAGCTCCTTCAAAGAAATGTTAAGTGTTAATAAGGTAAGGTATATAATACACATAGAGTTTTATAATCACAAAAGGCTGTATAATTTTTTATTTTTTTATTTTTCATTTTTATTTTTAATTTTTTTTGGTACCGGGGATCAAACTCAGGTCTTTGCGCTTGTACAGCTGGCAGAGAAACCCCTGAGCTAAATCCCCAGCCCTGTGTGATTTTTTAAAAGTTTGCTTTTATAATGGAACATTTACAGAGTGCTGTAATTTTTTCTGTAGGATGTTTTGAGTGTAGTATGGTCCAGATGTTTAAAAAAAAAAAACAGTCAAAAGTCTATTGAGTTTGTTATATCAGTGTAAAAGCTACTTGACTAAGAAATCAGAAACTCTGCAAGGGCAAAGAAAACATTTCTGAAATACCATTTTCTGGCTATGGATATAAAGTATGTTACTGTACAAATATATTGATTATTAAAAATATAGAAAAATAAAGAAAAATCACCTCACCACTCAGAAACACTTATGATTCCCATACATATCTTCTTTTTTTGTACCGGGGATCAAACTTGGGTCCTTGCGCTTTCGAGGTGGGTGACGTGACCACTGAGCTAAATCCCCGGCCCTCCCATGCATCTCTTAGTAGCAGTCTTGTGATTTATTTAATTTACAGTTCTGCTTTATCCACTAACATTACAAGGATTCTCTGTGTGATTACAAATTTATACATTAAATTTTTTCAGTTAATTTCTTAATTGTTCCTGTATTTTTAGATAATTGTTTCCTGTTAGATGTTCTACTGAATAGATTTTATGCACAAAACTTTTTCTGAATCCTGGATTATTTTTTTAGAACAAGATTCTTAGGGGTGGAATTGCAAGGCAAAGAGGATTAACATGTTTTCCAAAATGCCAAGCCAAATATATCCCAACCTGAATTGGATGGAAAAAGAAAATCCTAGATTTCCAGGCAGAAATGTCTGTTTCTGTGTGATAAATATCTTTGACAAGGAGTGCATATTTGTGGACAAAATGGAGTATTCATCTAGGCATGATGGGTCAGACCTGTAATCTTAGCATTCTGGGAGGCTGAGGCAGGACAATCATGAGTTCAAGCCCGGCCTGGTCACCTTAGAGGCTTGGTGAGACCCTGTCTCAAAAAAAGGGGGACAGGGGATGGGGTTGTAGCTCATTGGGAAGGCTGTAGATTCAATCCCCACTACTGGCGGGGAGGTGGAGAACTTTAAAAAGCACAATTATTATATTAGGGCAGTTACCATTTAAACTCATTATATTTCCCTGTATTTTGTGTTGTGAATGTTACTCAGCCTCAGGGAGTTTGGTCAGTGGTGTAGTTAGCAGTGAGGCAGTGTTCTTTTTGGCCTTGTCTTTCAAGCACTGATACTTCTGGAATTTAGTAGCGGCTCTTAAGTACCTTCCAGGAACCTGTTGGTTTGCGATGAAATATTACTGGTCCAAGGGTGAAATTCGCAGAAGTATAAAATAGTAATTTTTTTCATTATACTAAATATGTTTTGTTTTTTTTTGAGACAGGGTCTCTGTAGTTCAGTGCTGGGATTGCAGGTGTGCACCACCGTGCCTGGCTGTTCATCTTAAAGGGCTGCCCTTTGCAATTTGGTTCTTTCTGCTCTTTTATTATAAAAATGTCCTTTTATAAAATGATTATGCTATATGTTGATTTATTGGTATCGGGACTCAAACTCAGGGTCTAATGTTTGCCAGGCAGGTGCTGCACCACTGAGCTACATCCCCGGCAGTAATATTCTTTCTTTGTTTTTTCTTTTGGTATCAGGGATCGAACTTGGGTCCTTGCGCTTGTGCAGAAGGTGGCAAAACCACTGAGCTAAATCCCCAGCCCCAATATTCTTTCTTTGTAGAATAAAGTGTTGGTAACTTATGTAGGTTCTCCTACCCACACCTCCCTTTTAAATTTTTACCATTACAAAAATCCAAGCCTAGCGTTGTGGCACATGCTGCAATCCCAGCTATTCGGGAAGTTGAGGCAGGAGGATTGCAAGCAAGGCCAGCCTGGCTACTTAGTGAGACCCTGACTTAAAATAAGAGAGCTGGGGATGTGGCTTAGCCCAAGAGTGCTTGTCTAGTGTACACAAAGACCTGGGTTCAATCCCTACTACCGAAAAAAAAAATCTAAAAGTAGGGAAATTGTTATTGAAAATAAAGAGGAAAGCCAAACATGGTGGTGCATGCCTGTAATCCCAGCATTTGGGAGGCTGAGGCAGGAGGATCACTGTGAGTTTGAGGCTAGCCTGGGCTGCTTAGTGAGTTCAAGGCCAGCCTGAACTGCATAGAGAGACCCTATCTAAATAAATAAATAAAACAAAAAAGGAAAAAAAGGAGAGGGATAAGAATGCTTTCTAACTTTTGGAAATTTTCCTCGGTACTGCAAAAAAAAAAAAAAAAAGAGGGATAAGAATGCTTTCTAACTTTTGGAAATTTTCCTCGGTACTGCAAAAAAAAAAAAAAAAAAGGAAGTTCCCAGAGACCACTTAATGTAGTATGAAACTTGTTCATGTTCCTTGTTCTTTTTTTTCTTTCTTCTCCCACTCCTCCTCACTCCTCCTTCTTTTGTGGTACTGAGTTCTTTACTGTTTTCTTTTTCAGAGTGTCAAGCTTTAGTGTCAAGTCCTCAAAGACATAGAATTCACGATTTAGAGCAGAATTTCTCAACATTAGCACTATTAAAATTTGGGCCACATAAGTCTGTGTTTTGTGTGTGTGTGTGTGTGTGTGTGTGTGTGTGTGTGTGTGTCTTATGTGTCCCCTATGCATTGTAGGATATTTAGAGGCATCCCTGACCTCTACCTACTAGGTACTAGTAGTATCCCCCCCCCCCACTATTAGGGATTGAACTCAGCCTTTGCACTGAGCTGTATCTCCATCACTTTTTTATTTTTAATTTTTTTGTTTCAAGGAAAGGTCTTACTGTGCTACCAAGTTGCCCAGAGTGGGCTTCAACTCATATCCTCCTGCCTCAGCCTCCCAGAGTCCTGGGATTATAGGCGTGCACCACCATACCTGGCTACTGCTCCCAGTTTTGACAACTAAAAGTATCCTCTTGGAGGGGTAAGGTACAAGATCCTTTAGTGAGAATAGAATATACTTACATACTGTTTTGTTTTATTGTTCTGGTCCTGCAGATTGAATCCAGGGCCATGTACATGCTAGGCAAGTGTTCTACCACTGAGCTTCACCCACAGGTTCTTAAACAATATGTGCTAGCTTTAAAACTGTAAGGTAAATAGGGAAATGAAGGAACTTTTAGGCTTAGTCCAATGTTATTTTAGAAGTCAGACACCACATATATACTAATATGAAAAGTGGTTACAGACTCACAAATTCTTTCCATATAGCATATGTTGTTACCAGTGTGAAAATCACAAATTCTTTCCATATAGCATATGTTGTTACCAGTGTGAAAATCTTTGTTTTATTGTAGTATTTGAGAAAGCAAATGTTATTCTCATTATGTGCTTTGTGAAGTCTCAATACTGTTTTGTTATCTATTCTGTCATTATCAGTGTAACCTGAATTTGTTTGTTTTTTTTTAAATTTAGACAGCTAATCCTTGATGGTCAGTGGGATGAAGTTCTTCAGTTTATTCAGCCTCTGGAATGTATGGAAAAATTTGACAAAAAAAGGTAAGATTTTATCTGAAACTTCTAGTCTCATATCATTGGTAGGGGAGTTTGGCAAAAAATACAAAAAATTAAAAATAAGACTCTTGCTGAAAAAAAAAGACTCTTGGCTTTTCCTAGAAAATACTACACTAGATCCTATTGAGTTGATGAGCTTCTATAGGACAAGTGAATGTGCTTCAGGTATTTGAAAATCTGATATGCAAATAAACTTAGTAATGTAAGAAGTTGTGAGTGCTGTTTGATGATAGCAGAAAGACTTTATAGATATTACCTCTTGGACTCCATTGTTTCTCCTGAGCAGTCAACTATAATTTGTATCTTTATTCCTTGTATGTTATATGTATTCTTTCTCTTTTTTTTTCTGGCTACCTTCAAGTTTCTGTTTATTGTTGATTTTTCAGCAGTTTGATTATAATGTCTTAAGTTTGGGTTTTTGGTATTTTTTCTTCTTGGGATTTGCTGAACTCTTTGAACCTCTTAAGTTTTTTTCTTCAAAATTTGGAAGTTTTTGGCCATTATCATCTTCATATTTTCTCTTCTTTTTCTTCTTTTTCCTTCTGGGCATGATTTTTGTTTTTGTTTTTTCACTTGACTGAGGCTTTTTTTTTTCCTTCCTTTTATGGTTCTGGGCATTGAATGTAGGACCTCACACAAAAATGACCAACTCCTTTTATTTATTTTTTATTTTTTTGGTACTGGGGATCGAACTCGGGACCTTGTGCTTTCAAGGCAGGTGGTGGAACCACTGAGCTAAATCCCTGCCCCTCCTTTTATTTTTTAAAATCAGTTTTTTCTCTGTTTTTTGTTTGTTTTTGTTTTATTGAGATAGGGTCTTGCTATAACTTGCTATATACATGAGCTTGACCTTGAACTTGTAATCCTCCTATCTCGGCCTCCCAAGTGCTGGAAATACAGGCATGCACCACCATGTCTAACCTTTCTATTCTTTATCATTATTATTATTTTTTGGGGGGGGTACCAGGGATCGAACTTGGAACCTTGCGCTTTCGAGACAGGCACCGGAACCACTGAGCTAAATCCCCAGCCCAGATGTATTCTTTTTTTTCAGACAAGGTCTTGCTATAGTTCATGCTGGTCCTGAACTCACTGTGTAGCCCAGGCTGGCCTCAAACTCACGGCAATCCTCCTGCCTCAGCCTCCTGAGTGCTGGGAATACAGGCCTGTGCTACCATGCCTGGCTTTGACCAGCTAAAATTGCTGCTTGCTTTTATGACCTTACTTGTGTTGCTTTCCCTGGGCTCCTTATCTCCATGGCATCTTTTTTTTTCTTGGATTCTGGAGATTGAGTGTAGTAGTGATGGCAAACATTTTAGAGCTTTTAATTATAATAGCCAGCTGCGGCACAAGTGCCATAGGCTAGGGTTTTGCACTGAGCTACATCCTCCCCTGCTTTTGAGGCAAAGTCTCATTAAGCCACCAAGGTGCCCAGACTGAGCTTTAATTTGTGATCTTTCTGCTGGGATTACAGATGTGAGCCACCATGCCCAGCTGTCCCTGGCATCTTAACAGTTTAGAGGATAGACAAAGATTTGGGCACATGAATTTATACAACAGATTTAGTGTCTTACTGTGTTCCCTCTTTTTTGGCTCCCCCCTCACTTTTCATCTGCTCTGGCAGTACTAAGCTTCAAGTCTTTAAAACTATAGTAGAGTTCTGCTTGCATTCAAACTCACTGTGTACAGATTGGGGAGTGCCTTCACCTGAAAAGCCTTATACCCTTGAATCTCAACCCCTAAAGTTATCTTTTTTCAAGAATTGACCTCCCTCTAGTAGTGGCAGCTTTTGATTATTTTTGCATTCTGTTCAAATTACTATTCTTTTGTATGTTTTGTCTAGTGATTAGCATTGTTATTTAGTCATATATAGTTTATCAGATACAAGTTGCTCTAATGTTACAGAAATTTAAAAATTTTATTAGTATGTGTTTGTAGTACGTAATGATTACATTCATAATGAAGAGTTGGTAAATGTACATAACATATCTTATTTTTACTTCCCCTTTCCCTCCCCTATTAAAAAAGTTGAACCTCATATTACTTTTTGATTCATTGTTTATAAATTGGCTAAGCTAGTCTTCTTCTTTTTTTTTTTGGGTACTGGGGCTCAAACTCAGGACCTAAGCCAGGCTTCTTGATAATCTTATGTTAGTTGGGTCTTATAGGTCTTTTCTTTACTTTTGCCTTTTCTAGTAGAATTGGTTTCACACTCCTTCAAGAGTGCTGAATGAAAGAAAAAAAAGATTGCTGAATCCTATATATATTTCATATAATTTATTAGATAACCTTCTTAAAGGCGCAGATTGTTTTATTGGACATTTTGTTTTATTGGGTATTTATACAACAAAGCCTGAAAGAATGGCTGAAGTTTCATTATTTTTTCAACACTTAGAAACTAAAGTGTTCAAAGGTTATCAAAGTTATTTTGATTCTTTGTTCTCCTTTCCCTTCCTGATTAAAAGCCCTGTTAATGGGGCTGGGGATTTAGCTCAGTGGTACTGCCACCTGCCTCACAAGCGCAAGGTCCTGAGTTTGATCCCTGGTACAAAAAAAAAAAAAAAAAAAAAAATCCCTGTTAAAAAGTTTTTAAAGTCTAGGGCCGGGGATTTAGCTCAGTGGTTTCGCCGCCTGCTGTGCAAGAGCAAGGACCCGAGTTTCATCCCCGGTACCAAAAAAAAAAGTTTTAAGTCTGTAGTTATTTTGTGACTTTTTAGAAATATTTGTTTTCTCCAACCCTTTCTGCTCCATTTTATTAGACATCCCTAATGTTTAAAATGAAAAAACTTAATTTAGTCTTCCTACAGTGTGACATAGTGACAAAACATCATCATTGTATCCTACAATTACTTTTTTTTTTTTTGGTACCAGGGATCAAACTCGGGTCCTTGTGCTTGTGAGGCAGTACAATTGCTTTTAAAAAAAATTAATAGAATTAACAAGTTTTAGATGACAGAAAAATCATTTTGAATATATAAAACTTTTATTTCTAATTAGGTGATATTTGACATCTTCCATAAAAATTGGATTTTTGTGTAGGATTATTATTATTGGATTTAGAAATCTTTCTTCTGAGTGTTAAATTGTGATTATTTGTGACTGAAATTATTTCATCTATGGCTCCAATATGGTAAGAAGCTTAGTGAAATATCTTAAGAATATTCTGAAAGCAAAGTTTGCTTATACTAACTTGAAAAGTGCTTCTGACTTATTAGACCTTGTAAGATTAATTTTTTAAAGAACTATTTTTTAGAAGAAGTAATTAGTTCTTAAAAACAAACATGACCAGGGCTGGGGATTTAGCTCAGTGGTGCCACCACCTGCCTCGCCAGTGGAAGGTACCGAGTTCAATCCAAGGTACCAAAAAAACAAAACAAAACAACCATGACCAGACTGGTGATGGTAGCCCCATGATAGAGTACTTGCCTAGCACATGGGAGGCCTTGGGGTCTATCCCTAGCATCAACCAAATCAATCAGTCAATCAATCAATCAACCAAAATTGGCCTATTTTGTCTAAGAAACTTGAGTTTCTTGTCTTTAACATTACTGCTATTTTTTTTTTTTTTTTTGGTACCAGGGATTGAACTCAGGAACTTGCACTTGGGAGGCAGGCGCAGTGCCACTGAGCTAAATCCCCGGCCCTGCTATTTAGCTTTTTAATCATTTTAATATATCATTTGCTATTTTTCACAGGTTTCGTTATATTATCCTGAAGCAGAAGTTTTTAGAGGCTTTATGTGTTAACAATGCAATGTCAGCAGAAGATGAACCTCAGCATGTAAGATTTTTATTCCTGAAGGTTTGCGCCATAGTCTTGTTTTCGGTCATAAGTATTTTATTCACTAAAAAGATTATCATGAGTTTTCAAAGTTTTTATGAGTGAGATTGGGGCAGTATCTGCTATTTTGCAGATTACTTTCAATCTGTAGTGCTTCTAAACTTGTTCCATGATTTAAAGCAAAATGATATGTGAATAGCTGGCTAATTGGAAGAGTGTGTGTTCCTCTCTTGTTCAAGTAGTACATGTTTGATTTATTAGTCATCATTTCTTCTTTTCTTATTCTAGAAGTGGGTTGGTTATATTTACCTTTTTCTGTTTTTCAGCCCCTTCCTCCTTCCTTCCTTCCTTTCCTTTCTTTCCTTCCTTCTTTCCTTTCTACCAAAGCACCTTTGCATTGCACTGTATCTCTAGCCCTTTTATTTTTTTTTCTTTTTATTTTGAGACAGGGCCTACCTAAGTCATTAAGTTACCCAGGCTGGGCTTGAATTTGTGCCACAGCCCCCAAGAGTGCTGGGATTACAGGTGTGTGCCATCATGCCTAACTTTTTTCAGAATTTTGACCCATATTGTCATATTTTGGTGAAATGTTGTCTTTACGACAATTTAAATTCAATAATGGTAAACTCATTTTTATTAGATACTTTTAAAGTTTCAGTATTAGTATTCTCACATCTAAAACCACATACATTTTTGTAAGTTCTAGTAAATGTCCATGGAAGTAAGCTGTCTTAGTCTGTGCTGCTATAACAAATATGATCAACAAAAATTTATTTCTCTCAGTACTGGAAGCTGGGAAGTCAACAATCATGGTGCTGGCAGGTTACTGTCTATGGAGGGGCTCGCTTTCTGGTTCATGGATGGCACTTTTCTAGTCTTCACATGGTGGAAGAGCTTGCTTTTGGGATCTCTTTTTATAAGGGCCCTAATCCCATTCAGGAGGTCTGCACCCTCAAAACCTAGTCACTTCTCAAAGGCCCCACCCTCATAATCATCATCCTAGGGCTTAGGATTTCAACAAATTGAGGAGATTCAAACATTTAGGCCATAGCAAAAGCCAAAGGACATTACAGTAGGGACTTTCATGTATAATAGAGATGTGTTTGTCCAATAATGGTGTCCAAAAGTAGACCATGAATTCAGAAGACTTAAGTTTTATTCTTTGTTACTAAGTAGTAGGTTTTGTTTGCTTTTTTGGTACCGGGGATCGAACTCACTCGGGTCCTTGCACTTGCGCAGCAGGCGGCGAAACCACTGAGCTAAATCCCCGGCCCATTCTTTGTTACTAACTAAATCTGTACTTTTCCCATGTGTAAGATAAGGAGACTGGACTTTAAGGTATTGTTCATTGACAACATTCATTACCCAAATTGAACTAGTTCAGCTTTTGGCTAAGCTTCCTTTTTTCCTGTCTCTGGACATTTTTTTTTTTTTTGTAGTAAATGAACTGTTGATGTTCCCTTTTCTGATTTACTTTCTTTCTTCATACAAATTTGTCCTAAGACAAGTTGGAACAAAGAAAATGACTCTTTTGCTCTTTGGATAAGCCAAACAAGAAGGTTCTGTGCTTGGCATGCTTCATTTTTCACTTCTAGAAAATTGAATTTTTCTTAGCTTTAAAAAGTTATACATTTGTGGGCCCAAGGATTTAGCTCAGTGGTTCTGCTGCCTGACTTGCAAGTTCAAGATCCTGAGTTGGATCCCCAGTACCAAAAAAAAGTTATACATTTGAAATTAACAATTTTTAAGCCTGAATTAGAACACTATTTTTATAGATAAAAGCTTAATGTGCTAATTAACCAAATTATTTATTGTTTTTATTTAGATATGAAAACATTCTGGTTCCTGAGTTGAGACTTGTTACATGGTCTACAAATTATATGTATATTCTGTGGCATCAGAATTTGCTCTTCATATTCTTTTTCAGCTGTCGTATTTCATTTTTAGTAGTGATTTTTAAAGTTTTTCTCTTTTTATACTGATCATTTATATTTTTTTACAGCTGGAATTTACCATGCAAGAAGCTGTGCAATGTTTACATGCTCTAGAAGAGTACTGTCCTTCTAAAGATGACTATAGCAAGCTCTGTTTGCTTTTGACTTTGCCTCGTCTGACCAATCATGCTGAGTTTAAGGACTGGAATCCCAGCACTGCCCGAGTTCACTGTTTTGAGGAAGCTTGTGTCATGGTTGCAGAGTTCATCCCTGCTGACAGGAAGCTAAGTGAGGCTGGTTTTAAAGCAAGTAACAATCGGTTATTTCAGCTTGTAATGAAAGGCCTGCTTTATGAATGCTGTGTAGAATTTTGTCAGAGTAAAGCAACCGGAGAAGAAATTACAGAAAGTGAAGTACTTCTTGGCATCGACCTTTTATGTGGGAATGGTTGTGATGATTTGGATTTGAGTTTATTGTCATGGCTTCAGAATCTCCCTTCTTCTGTGTTCTCTTGTGCTTTTGAACAGAAGATGCTTAATATCCATGTTGACAAACTTCTGAAACCAACAAAAGCTGCATATGCTGATCTTTTGACTCCTCTTATCAGCAAACTTTCTCCCTATCCATCATCCCCAATGAGAAGACCTCAATCAGCTGATGCCTATATGACCCGCTCTCTGAATCCTGCTTTAGATGGCCTCACTTGTGGATTAACCAGTCATGATAAGAGAATCTCAGATCTTGGGAACAAAACTTCTCCAATGTCACACTCCTTTGCTAACTTCCATTATCCAGGGGTACAAAACCTCAGTAGAAGTCTCATGCTTGAGAATACAGAATGTCACAGTATTTATGAAGAATCCCCTGAGCGGTAAGCATTTGCTCATAAAAATTAGGAAATTTCCCTGAATGTAAGATAATCTGATTGGGTTGGTGTGTATTTTTCTCAATTTTCAAATCCCTTTAAAGTTAATCCTGGGCCAGGGATTAGCTTAGTGGTGCCACCATGCCTGCTTGGTAAGCACAAGGTCCTGAGTTCGATTCGTAGTACCAGGAAAAAAATAAAAGTTTTAAAAATCTTTAGAAAGGGTTTTTTAATTCAGATAATTAAAATTATAAGAGAAAATCTTTATTTTTTTATCTCATTATTCATTCATTCATTTAATTAATTAATTATTTTGCGACAAAATCTTGCTGTGTAGTTCAGACTGGCTTGAACTTACTAGGTAGCTGAGGCTGGCCTCGAACTTGCAGCAATCCTCCTTCTTCATCCTCCTGAGTGCTGATTACAGGTGTGCACCGCCACACAAGGGCATCTTATATTGTTCTTTCACTGGTTATAAAGGCAATAGATATGCTGTGAAGAAAATTTAGATAACATAAAAGAATAATAGGATGAGAATTAAAATCCCACACAATCTCAACACTTAGATGACTAGTTTTTTTTTGTTTTTTTCCTGTGAATATGTTTCTTTTAGATTGGGAATATACTATGTATATTTTCATTTAACCTTTTTTCGCTTGGAATATCATGAATGTTTTCCATTTTCCTAAACATTTCTTGAGCTCCAGTATGGTTAATGGTAAGTATGCGATATTCTATTGTATAATTACATCATGTAGAACCCAGGCTGTTTCCACTTTTTTCTCCTGAATAGTATTGTAGTGAATGATTATGTATATAAAATCCTCCATTTCCATTCTTCACTTATCTTTCTTTAGTGGTGTGTGTGTGTGTGTGTGTGTGTGTGTGTGTTTGTGTATGTATGTATGTATGTATGTATGTGGGGTACTGAGTATTGAGCCAGGGAATGCTGAGATGCATCCTCAGCCATCTGTCTGTCGCCTCTTTCTCTCTTCTTTCTCTCTCCTCCCTCTCTTTCTCTCTTTCTTTCTTTCTTTCTGTTTTGAGACAGAATCTCAGTGTTGCTAGCTTCAAACTTGTAATCCTCTTGCCTTAGCTTCTGAGTAGCCGGGATTACAGTGTTTGCCACAATGTCCAGTTTAGTGATTCTTTATGTATATGAAATGTGTGTTAAAGATACTATTCAGTTTTTTTTTTGTATTAAATTCTTTTATTGGTACATTGTAGGTATACAACACAATTACATCTCTCATTGGGAATTGTACCTTTATATAATGCATCTTGGTTCTTATTTTTTCCCCATTCCTAGCCCTCCCTTCACACCCTCCATCCTTCCCTATTTACAAAGACTTTATTTCCATTTTTTCCATTTCTCATCATTTCTTCCTTTCCCTTCTTTTCTTCCCCCTGCCCTTCCCACTACCCCTACCCCTTTGGACCTTTTCTTCCTATTTTACATTATCGATTATTCACTCTAATCATTGGTACATTTTAGGTATACAATATAATGACATTCATCATTGGAAATTTGCACCTTTACATAGTCTCTCTTGGTTCTTATTTTTCACCCTTGCCCAGCCCTCCCTTAAACCCCTCCAGTCCTCCCTATTTACAAAGATTTTGTTCCTATTTTTCCATTTTCTCATATTAATCCCATTCCCTTCTATCCTTTCCCCTAGCCCTCCCACTTGGTACTATTCAGTTTTTGTCCTCAAACCTGGCATGAAATAATCCCCTGAGTAGCAGTTATTTATTTCATGGGTTAGGAAACTTTTCTACCTTGCTTTTTCTGAAAACTCTACAGTATACAGATGGTTTTTTTGTACCTCAAAGTTGGTACTGTTGCTAGAGTCCTAGGGCAGAGAGAGGTCTGACGTCAGGGAGTTCCAAAAAATCAGGTCTCAAAGATCAAATGAGGGAAAAAAGTAATGGTGAAAAGCATGAAAGGAATTTACACAATATGCTTGTAGCTATATTGGGAAAATGGCAGGGTGCAGGGGAGGTATCCGTGCATCCACAGCCCTGTCTTCAGGGTTGAACCAAGAGCTCCAATAAGATTATATAGGGAAGGTATGAAAGCCACTAGGAAAAAAAAAAGATTATATAGGGAAGGGGTCATAATTAATCAGTCTTGGTCAAACTGATTGGTTGTTATTTCAGTCCTGATTCCGCAAGGCTCCAGGGAAGTCTTATCTCTTAAGGAGGCAGTTTGGTTCTCATGAGGTGATTAGTCCTACTTGAGGCAGCCTCAATTCCTGTCTTGGGCTGATTTACCTGTAAGGCTTGCTCTTCCCGGCAGGTTTAGGGTAATGACTGCAGACTTCTGGGCACCACTGCAAGGATCTAGAACTGGACATGCAAGCAGTCAGTTCACAGTCTGTTGATTATTATGTCCTTTAAAATTTTTTTTTTTTCTTGATACTGAGGATCGAGCTCAGGACCTTGCACTTTCGAGGCAGGGATGGTGCCACTGAGCTAAATTCCCAGCCCGTGTCCTTTAAATTTTTTTTTTTTTTGGTTCCGGGGATCGAACTCAGGTCCTTGTGCTTTTGAGGCAAGCAGCAGAACCACTGAGCTAACGCCCCCACCCCCACCCCCACCCCCACCCCCACCCCCATGCCCCCAACCATGTCCTTTAAATTTTTAAAATACCTGAGTTACTCTTATCTTGATGCCTGTCCTTGAAGGGGAAGAACTTGCAGCCTTGTATGAACACTGCCTAAGTGATTAACATGCCTATGGCCTGAGTGAAGCAGAGTTTTAAGGTGTATTAAAGGAGGCAGGTACAGAAAGAAGGCAGAGATTTCAATACCATGAAGTAGTAATATTAACTGCGGTAAATTTATTTTTTGAAACAGCATAAAAACTAACCCTCTTATATTACATAGGATATTTGGAGGCATTCTTTGTAGAAAAAGGAATGTTGGACTCAGTTTCTGTTTAATTAGAGCAATTGCTCTTTTGTTACAGCATAAGAAATAGAGGATAAATATAAGAAAGTAGTTTCTGTTATGTTACTACAAAATTGTAGAAGAAAGGAGTTATAATACTTCTTTAATATTCTTTAAAGAGAAAGGGGGCTGTAAGTAGGATCATTTAAGTGAAGGGCTTCCTAAAGGCTAATCTGTATAAACATCTGGTATAGTCAACATCTTCAGATGAAGTTAGTTTTAAAAACAAAACAGAAAACAGAGTATGAAACAGAGTATGAAAGGTAGAAATTATTAATGTTTTAGAAGAATATTATGAACAACCTGACATAAGATCTCAAGCTTATGTCTTTAAAATAATTTATACATTAAAAAATACTGGAAAAATATATGTTTTGCTTTTATGTTAAGTACACATAGACTAAAAAGCCTTTTAATAGTCTAAAAATTTTAAAATTACGTAGAACCATATTAGAAGTAAATATTTGGATAAGAAAATCACAGGTTTATATTTCATGAAGAGAATATAGGCATTAGATTGTCTAGCCTATCCAGTTTATAGATGAAGTTTATAGATGAAGTCACAGAGAATGTGGCTTTCCCTAGACCACATAACTGATTTTAGACTGGAGATCCTGGTTTTCCTTGAATAATAACCCTGAGCTCTTCCATTAAAAGCATATTCCAGCTGGGTACGTTGGCATGTACCTGTAATCTCAGTCTTGGGAGGCTCAAGCATAAAGATCTCAAGTTCTAGACTAGACTGGGCAATACTAAAAAAATAAAAAATTCCTTACAAGGACATACCACTTTTTAAAAAATTTTTTTATTGAGTTTATTGGTTCATTTAGGTATGACTTATGATCACAATCATCATTGGGAATTTGTACCTGTACATGATATATCTAGATTCTTATTTTTCCCATTCCCCTGCCCTTTGAACCCCTCTACCCCCCATATACATAAGCTTTGTTTCCATTTTTTTCTTCTTTCAATTTTTTTCTTTCCCTCTTTTCTTTCCTCTGCCCCCTCCCTAGTACCCCTTTCCCTTTAAACATTTTCTTCCTATTTCGCATTATCTATTATACATTTTAGTCCTCATTTGCACTGTCAGTTTCTCACACCAGAGAAATGATTCAGTATTTACACGTGTGTCTTATTTATTTCACTTATGAGTATGGCCTCAAGGTGCATCCATTTAGCTATAAATGTCTCAAGTTTATCTTTCTTTATGGCTGAGTAGTACTCCATTTTATAAAAAAAAAAAACCCACATCTTTATCCACTCAACAGTTGATGGGGTTTTGGGCTGTTTTCAAGTTTTAGCTATTACAAACTGTGCTGAAGTATATTACTTTTAAAACCAGTTTTTTGACTGTGGCACATGCCTATAATCCCTGCATTCAGGGGACTGAGGCAGTAGGATCACAAGTTTGAGGGCAGCCTGAGCTATGTATGAGTTCAAGGCCATCCTAGCTTACATAATGGGATCTGGTCTCAAAACAGAAACAAACCTTTTTTGTAGGTAAGGAAAGAAAGGAAAATTTTAAAATCTATGTTAAACAGTTGATAAACACTTAGGTTAAATATTTATTGTTTTAGAATTAAAATTTCTCTTAACTAAAATACCTTTTTCTTTAATCCCATCTCTGCTTTGTTGTACTTTTCTGGAAGAAGTGATACACCAGTCGAGGCACAGCGGCCTGTTAGCAGTGAAATCTTGGGCCAGAGCACAGTTTCAGAAAAAGAGCCTGCAAATGGAGCACAGAACCCAGGATCAGCTAAGCAAGAAAAAAATGAGGTACTATTTACCATGTGTTATATTTTAGAGTTATTTTCTTTGTAAGAAGTGACAGTATTTTTTTGAAGGAGGAGAGTTTTAATTTGGCTCATGGAATAAATAGTGTTTGGTATATAGAATTTTAAAATAATTTTGTGATTTTGGGGAGTAAGAGAATATCTAGACTTAATAATTATTAGTTTATTATTGCTTCTCAGCCTTTTGGCTAAGATCAAGTGTAATAATTATTAGTTTATGTTCTCTTTTCTACCCAAAGAATATATGGTGTATTTAGTTGTCATTGTGTATTTTGTAACTTTTTTTTTTTTCTTTTGGTACCAGGGATCAAACTCGGGTCCTTCTGCCTGTGCAGCAGGCAGCAGAACCACTGAGCTAAATCCCCGGCCCTTTGTAACAACTTTAACAAATGAATTTATTAAAAATGTAAAATACCACAGTTGACATTAATTTTACATACTTTAAAACTCAAATAATTGAATTTTCATTAAATGTGGCTAAATTGCATTTTAAATGCATATACTCTTATATTTTACTTACTACATTTAATGAACAAAAATTAGATATTTATAATATTGAATTATATTTTTATCTAAATTTAGGGATCCAAATTGTTGTTACCATTTTGGTGTTTTTGAAAGGAAATTGTATTGTGAAAGGAAATTGTATTATAAAGTAGGATGTGAAGTCTTCCGCTTAGAAGAGGTTTTTTTTCTCTTTTTTAAACCTGTGGCAATTTTAACCTGATAATATACTACTTACATTTAAAGAAATATGATCTCAACACTCGTAGTAAGATATATCTTCAGTCCAGACCTCATGTTCGCAATACAAAAGCCTTTAAAGAAGAGAGAAAAAAAAAGTTATATTTATGTGTCATGGCATGAAAATTGGAATACTGAATCAACAGCTGAGATATTGCTCATGTCCTGTGCTTTCTAACTATTAACTCTTTAGTCTTGGAACCAATCTTAATGGTTATTACACCTCCCATCACTTTAGACTGTATTGGGTATCAGCATTTTTTTTGGCAGGATCTCATTATGTAGTCTAGGCTCACCTCAAACCTGTATTCCTTTTGCCTCAGCCTTAGCAGTGCCAGGATTACAAGCGTGCACCACTGTGCAATTGTATTCCTTCTTACATGTATCAAGACTCATGGTGAACAGTGAGTTCTGGCTTGCAAAAGAGCATTTATTTTTTGTGATTCTCTGTGAGTCTTAGTTCACAAGTTAGACAAAAACACAAGTACTACTTAGAAGAGATTGATAAATGTTTTAATAATTTGAATAATTTTATTTTCAACTAAATCTAAAACAAATTAGGAAAATTATTACTAAAGTTACATATAGATATGTATCAAACAGTAGAGTCCCAGAATATGATGCAAACATTGACAGAATTGAGGAGAGAAATAGACATCTCTGAAGTAAGAGTTGGGGACTGCAATACCCCACTTACAGTAATGGATAAGAAATTTAAGTTGGAAATAAATGAAGGTATAGAGGACTTGAACAGTGCTATAAATGAACTAGACATTCCACTCAACAACAGGAACACACATCTTTCTCCAGTGGATGTAGAATGTTATTTAAGATAGGCCATCTATTAGGGCACAAAACAAGTCTCAGTACATTTTTAAGAGATTGAAATTAATGAAGCATCTCTGACCACAATGAAATGAAGCTAGAAATTAACAGAAGGAAAACTGGAAATTCACAAATTTGTGTATTTTCTATATACAGGATAATGTCATCTGTGAATAGATACGACTAACTTTTAACTAATGAGTTGAAGAGATCACATGGGAAATTGGAAAACAGACCAAAAATGAGAATATAGCATATCAAAATTTATAGGATTCAGCAAAGGCAGTGCTTGGAGAAAATTTGTAGATGTAAATGCAGAAGAGCTGGATATAGTTTGGTGATAGAGTGCTTGTATAGCATGCACAAGGCCCTCAGGTATTGCAAAAACAAATAATCAGAAAATAGTTGCTCAAGCACAAGGACCCGAGTTCAATCCCCGGTACCAAAAAAAAAAAAAAATAGTATTTGACTAGTGAAAATGGTGGCCTCCATGGAAAATCCAGCTGGTGAGACAAAGCTGAGCTGGTGTGAGATTTATGTCCACTTATGCCAGTGCTTACCTAGCAGCCAGAGCATCAGGGCTATGGTGGAAGTTCAAGAAGGCAAACCTGGGCCTTCCTATTCTAGTTGTTATGCATTCAGTCAAGAGAATAATGTCCCTTTGAACAATTTATGTGTTGTTAATGTAACCAGAGCCCTGGAGAATGTCTGAAGTATCCTCTGCAGATTATGAGCAGGAGCCTTAGAATTTTCTGCTAAACTGAGTACCATGTGGAAAAATGTGTTTTCCAATTTCTTATAAAGCTTGTGCTGTAAAAAAAGAATGAAACCATTAGATCAGTAATCTAACGTTATGACTTGAACTAGAAAAAAAGGGTGGAGCTGCGGCTATAGTTCAGTGGCAGAATTCTTACCTAGCATATATAAGGCTTACTTAGTTTGATCCCCAGCACTGCAAAAAAGAAGACTTAAAACCAGTCCTTCTCAAACTCTTCCAGAAAATAGAAGTGGAAGAGCAATGGGTAGTAGAGCATGTCTATAGTCCAGCACTCAGAAGGACTGAAGCAGGAGGATTGTGAGTTCAAGGCCAACCTGAACTGCTTAATTCCAGACCAGCCTGGACTACATAGTAAAACCATTTAAAAAAAAAAAAAGAGGTGGGAATACTTCTTAACACATTCTATGAAGTCACCATTACCTTGATCTGAAAACCAGATAAAGACATCACAAGAAAACTACAGACTAATATCCTTTATGAATATAAAGAAAAGGAATCCTTAAAAAATACTTTCAAAACAAATTCAACAGCATATTAAAAGAATTATACAGTGTGACCAAGTGGTTCAACAAAGAAAGTCAGTGTGATATATCACACTAATAGCATGAAGGGAGGAAGAAAAATCCACATGATTATCTTGACAAAATTTTTCAGAAAACTAGGAATAAAAGAGAACTTCTTTAGTATAGTAAGTGGTGCCGTCCATGGTGCTACACACCTGTAATCTCAGCATTTGGTAGGGTGAGGCGGGTGGATTTTGAGTTTGAGGTCAGCCCGCCTACATAGCAACTTTTTTTTTTTTTTTGGTACCGGGGGGTCCTTGAGCTTGCGAGGCAGGTGGCGGAACCACTGAGCCAAATCCCCGGCCCTTACATAGCAACTTTGAGACCAGCCTGGACCTACATAGTGAAACCCTTTCTCCAAAAAAAAGGTAAAAGGCCTTAATGAAATACCCGTAGCTGACTTGGTGGGGCAAGACTGAGTGAGGACATTCCTTTAAGATCAGGAGCAAAAACAGTAACACTGCCTTTCACCACTGCTGTTGAACATTTACTAGAAGTTCTAGCCACAGCAATTGGACAATAAAAGGAAATAAATGACATACAAATTTGAAAAGAGATAAAACTAGCTCTATTCACAGATGACATGATCCTATATATAGAAAGTCCTAAATAGAATTCACAAGAAAGCTACTAGGACTGATAAATTCAACAGATTGCAGAGTAGAAGATCAACACAAAAAAAAATCGCTTGTGTTTCTGTATACTAGCTATGAACAATTTGAAAAGCAAATTAATTTCATTTATAATTGCATATGAAAGGATAAAACTCTTGGGAATGTCAAAGAGAAGAAAGATCTGTACCCTGAAAACTATAAAACATTGCTGAAAGAAATTTAAGAAGACCTAAATAAATAGAAATACATCTTGTGTTCATGGATAGGAATACTTAACATTATCACCCAATGTGATTTCTAGAAACAATGCAATACCTATAAAAACTTCCACAGTATCTTCTGCAGTAATTGAAAAATGAATGCTCAAGTGCATGTAGACTTGTGAGGGTCCCCAAATAGCCAGAACAATCTTGAAAAAGAACAGACTTGTAGGACTTACTTCATGATTTCAAAACATACTACAAAGCTATGGTAATCAAAAGCGTGATACTTGCACAAGGATAGATATATTGACCAATAGAATAAAATTGAGAGTCCAAAAATAATCTCATACTTTTATGGCCAGTTGATTTTTAGCAAGAATGAAAACTCCATTCAGTAGGGAAACAATAGTCTCTTTAACAGTTAGTGCTGGGAGGATTTCCATAGGTAAAAGAATGAAGTTGGATCTCTGTCTCATACCATATAAAAAAATTAACTCAAATTTGTATCAATAACCTACAAGAGCTAAAATCATAAAATTCTAAGAAGAGGAAATAGGTATAAATCTTTACTACCTTGTATTTTATAATGCATTCTTAAATCTTACACCAAAAGTATGAACAATAAAAGTAAATAAATTAGACTTCATTAAAATTAAAACCTTTTTGTGCAAAAAAGTATGTTACTAAGGAAGTGAAAATACAACCTACAGAAAGAGAAAAATATTTACAAACTATATCTGATAAGCTTTATTGTCCAGAATACAGAAAGAACTGCAACTGAACAAAAAGACAACACAAATAGAAAATGGGCAAAGGTCTTGAATATACATTTCTTCAAAGAATACATATAAATGGACAGTGAGCATATAAAGATGCTTAATACCATTAATAATTAGGAAAATGTAAATCAAAGCCTTAATGAGATACAACTTTACACCTAGTTGGCGGCTATAATTAAAACAATGGAAAATTTAAGAAAAAGCAATGGAAAATTAAGTATTGGTTAATATTTGGAGAACTTGAACCCTTGTACATTGCTGGTTAGAATATAAAATGTTTAGAGTACCCACTGTGGCAGGGTCTGGAGGGTGTAGCTCAGTGGTAGAGTGCTTATGTAGCGTGCCCAAGGCCCTAGGTTCAATACATGTCACCACAAAAATAAATAAAATTAAAAATTTGTGGTCCCTCAAAAGCTAAACATAAGATTGTCATATAACCCAGTAATTCCATTCCTAGATATATACCCCTCTCCCCAATTGAAACCATAGACTCTGGTAGATATTTCTGTACCCTTGTTCATAACAGCATTATTCACTGTTGCCAAAGATGAAAATTACCCATTTGTTCATCCCCCCAAAAAATCCATCAACAAAATGTGGTATGTACATACAATGAGGTATTATTCAACCATAAAAGGAATGAAGTTCTGATACATGCTAGAGTGTGGATGAAACTTGAAAACTTCATGCTGCACTAAATAAACAGATACAAAAGGACCAATGTTGTGTGATTCCACTTATATGAATATCTAGAAGAAGCAAATTCACAGAAATAATATAGACTAGATTAGAGATTACCAGGGGCTGAAGCAAGGGGAAAATGGGGAGATATTGCTTAATAGTTACAGTTTCTGTTTGGGATGATGAAAAAGTTTTGAATATGGTGCTTTTTATCCAACATTGTGAGTGTAGTTAATGCCACTTAAAATGGTTAAAATGACAGCTTTTATGTAACATTTTACCATAATACAAAATTCAGGTACATATGGATAATTTTATCTGAGTTATTGCTGATAGAAAAGGATTTTGGTTTCAGTACTGGGGATTGAACCCAGAGCCTTCACACTCAGCTGCATATCCAACCCTTTTAAATTTTCTTATTTTGAGACAGGGTCTTACTAAATTACTCAATTACTTAGGGTGGGCTAGAATTTGCTATCCTTCCCAGAGTATGAAATTGATTATAGGTGCATGCAACCACACCTGGCCAAGAAGAATTATTTCTGTTTCCCAGAGAAGCAAAAAGTTTTAGCTTTAGGTAGCTGTATAAGACTCTTGGTTAAACTTATTATCAGTGTTTGGTCAATTTTAGAGATGATTGATTTTTTTCAGGATAATCCCAGTGAAGTATGACTAGACTTTGATTTCATGGGGAGTCTTTCCTTGCCAGTATTGGAATTCACTAAATATCTCAGTCCTGAAAGTTTGAGTGCTGTATAGTTCTTTTAGAACAATTACATACAAATGTTGAGACTGCTAAATTTAAGGCTCACTAAATGAAAGAACATTTGAAACCTATTTCTTTGGCAAATTTTCTTTCTTTCTATAGAAACCTATTAGACCATGTACATGCTTGCATTAACCATGTTTGGCAAGGATAATATTGTATTCATTAAATGTTAATGCAGTTCCTCAATATGTATTTTATGTAAGTACTATAAGATTTGTCTTTGCAAACATTTTCTTTGTTCTTATAACCATTAATTTGCCTTTTTTTCTTTTGGTGGTACTGGGATCCACACATGCTATGGAAGCCTTCAGACCATTGAACTACATCTCCAGTCCTTTGAGACAAGGTCTCACTAAATTGTTCAGGCTGACCTTGAATTTGTAATCTTCCTGCTTCAGCCTCCTGAATAGCTAGGACTGCAGGCATGTGCCACAGCACCAGTTTAATTTACATTTTTATTTTGGATTAGTCCAGCCACTAGCGCAATCATCCATTTTGGCCAGTCTGTTGCTGTGGAATGAAATAAATTAACTGATCTCTGTCAGTGTTAAGACTCATGGGTCCTATGTTATTTTTCTTTTTTGTTATTTTTCAAGAAGCAATGTAGAGGGGTGATCCAGAGATATATGGTGTACATTTACATAAAAAATATTTATCACAGTAGAAGACATATTGCCATTAATCCCCCTTAAAATAACTCCCTTGGCTCCTGACACAATTTTCCCATCCTTCTTGCTACTTTTTGAAGCAGTTCTGGAAGACCCCTTTTTGTGTGTCTTTATGAGGTGTGATCAAAAATGTGGTGAATGCTTCTGCCGTATCACATCTAGTGGAAAGGCAGGCTCGTTATGCTGTGTCCTCATCCACCTTATTCACCAGATCTGGCATCATGTAACTTCTGGCTCTTCCTCCAAATCAAAATGAGCATGAAAACTAAATATTTTGAATTGATTCAGGACATCAAGGCAACCATGACAACACAGCTAAAGATACTCATGAAAGAGACCTTCTGTAACAGCTTTAGAGAGTGGCAAGAATGATGTGACAAGTATGTCAAAGTGAGGGAGATTAATGGCAGTGTGTCTTTTACTGTAATAAAATGTTAAAAAATTTAAACTTTCACTGTCATTTTTGATCATTTTTGTATTGTTTTGTAATTGTTTAATTATATATTTTATCAGTATTTATAAGAAGGTACTGCTGAGAGAAGATATATATTCAGTTTAACAATATTGTTTTCTTCTAATATTTTTAAGCTTCGAGATTCCACTGAACAATTTCAAGAATATTATAGGCAAAGATTACGTTATCAACAGCATTTAGAGCAGAAGGAGCAGCAGCGACAGATATACCAACAGATGTTGCTTGAGGGTGGGGTGAATCAGGAAGATGGCCCTGATCAGCAGCAGAATCTTACTGAGCAATTCCTTAACAGGTTGGTCTTCTAGTTGCTTTTTTAAATGAAGGGAATTATTTTGAAGCTATTTAAAGAATTTAATAACTGTAATTTAAAGAATTTAATAACTGTAATTCCCTTGTCATTTGAAAGTGTAATATGGAATTTACATGTTTTCTTGTGACCAAATACTGAGTGTTTATCTAGTTTTTTCCTTCCTCCCTCAGCAAGTAAAACAAAAGAGTAGTAGTTCTTTCCATAGGCTGGAACCCAACTGCCAAGTGGATCCAGTTCTGACCCATCTGAGGACGGAAGGCAGTGATGTCAAACCTTTTAGAGCTTTCAGTGATGACACACAGCCTGCTACAACACATATGCCATAGGTTCACCACTACTGACCCAGGGGAAGCTACTTAGTTTCTTTTTTTTTGAAAAAATAATTTTATTAATCTGAATCTGACTGTACATACTAATATAAATAATACACAAAAATGAGTAATAAGGGTTTTCAATTGTGAACATTTACTGTGGATTCAGTATATTTTAATTCAATCATCAGTTTATAATTAAACCACCAGTTTATCATTAAAGAAACTCTTTGATGTTGCTTAGAACTCTAGTGCTATGTAACATCTCTGGAGCTCTGTCATCCCTGGCCTCTTTTTTTTTTTTTTTTTTGCTTTAATTCTTTTATTGGTACATTTTAGGTATACAATACATTTACAGTTATCATTGGGTGCTTGTACCTGTACATGATGTATCTTGGTTCTTATTTTTTCCCCATTCCTCTGCCCTCCCTTCACCCCCTCCACCCTTCCCTATTTACATAGACTTTGTTTCCATTTTTTTCTTTTCTCATAATTTTTCCTTTCCCTTCTTTCCTTTTTCCTTCCCCTTCCACTTTCCCTACCCCTTTGGACCTTTTCTTCCTATTTCAAATTATCAATTATTCGTTTTAATCCTTATTTACACTTTCAGTTTCTCACAATAGAGAAACTATTCGGTATTTACAGATGTGTCCTATTTATTTCGCTTAAGAATATGGCCTCACTATGCATCCATTTAGCTATAAATGTCTCTAGTTTCTTGTTCTTTATGGCTGAGTAGTACTCCATTTTATTAAAAAAACCACATTTCTTTATCCAGTCTCCAGTTGATGGGCACTTGGGCTGTTTCCAAGCTTTAGCTATTATGAATTGTGCCACTATAAACATGGGTACACATATATCGCTGTGGTATGATTCTTTTAATTCTTTGGGGAAGATTCCCAGCAGGGGAATAGCTGGGTCAAATGGGACCTCTAGCCCTAGTTCTTTGAGGTATATCCATACTGATTTCCACAGTGGTTGCACCAGTCTGCACTCCCACCAACAATGGAGAAGGGTTCCTCTCTTCCCACACCCCTACCAGCATTTGTTATTGGTTGATTTCATGGTAGCAACTATTCTTTCTGGGGTGAGGTAGAATCTCAGTGTTGTTTTCATCTGCGTTTCTTGAATGACCAGTGATGTTGAACTTAGTTTCTTTTTGTTTCCTCATGTACTTCACAAGGTTGCCATAAGGATTAAATGAGTTAATCTATGTAAAATGCTTAGAATGGTATCTGGGCCACTGTAAACACTATATTGGTCGTTGCTATTTTTATAATTATTAAGAGTGCTTAAATCTACAGATTCAGCCAAGCATAGTAGTGTGTCCCTAACTACTTGGGAGACTGAGGCTGGAGGATCACTTGAGCCCAGGAGTCAAGGCCAGCCTGGGCAACACAGTGAGACCTTATCCTAAAAAAAAAAAAATAACAGCAACACCAGCAAAAGAAAAACCCCTAAAGATTCTTTTGGATTTAATATATTAAAGATATTAAAATTTTGGCCCAAATAGTGTTAACTATAATGTTTTTTATTGTAGGAGGAATATACATGTTTTTAAAAGTCAATAAACCAAAATAGCTATATGTATATTATTTATATATCTTTATTTCAATGAGCAAAGCATGTTGGAAGGTTAAATGAGCTAATATATGTAAAAGTACTTAGAACAGTTTCTGTTCTAAGGGTATTTGAAGACCTAGCACATAGCAAATATGGTATAAGTCTTGGTTCCATGATTATGATTAGGCATTTGCAGTGGTGACTCTCAGTTCTTCAGTTGGATCAGTATATTAGATGTAATCTGCTTGACACTGTTGTTCAAGTCAGTGTTCCTAAAATTGATCCTATCTTCAAACCTTCACCTAGTGAGTGTTTATAGTGATGATCTCACGAGTCTAAGTAGGCTAAGCATGGTGGCACACACTTGAAATTGTAGCTACTAGAAAGGTGGAGGTAGGAAGATTACAAGTTTAAGGCTGGCCTGGGCAACATAGCAAGACCCTGTCTCAAAATAGAAAGGGGGATATAATTCAGTGTGATACCCTGGGGTTAATCCACCGGACTGTAGAGAAGGAAAAAAAGAAAAAAAAAAAGAGTGTAAGCCTGCCTCTAAATATTCATTTAGAGACCATTTTATTACCAAGTCAGTAGCTTGTCAGAATTATCCTCCTCTGATGAATTGCCACTTTTCATTTTTTGGCTGTCTTCTTCACATTCATAAAATTCTGAGGTACAGTTTGACTTTCCAGTCAGTTTTTTTGTTTGTTTGTTTCAGTGAAAGAAGTTACCTAGTGATAAATTAGAAAATGAGGGGGCAAGGTTTGGTGACTCCAGTGATAGTGGAGATTTGCTTCCTCAAAATAAGTCAGACTGTTATTCAAGGTTTATCCTTTCTTTAAAGATAATCACAAATACTTAAATAATTTAGGTTCAGTTTAAAGCAAGGTAGCTTGCTTCCTTCCTTCTTCCCTCCCTCCTCCCTTCCCCTCTCTTCCTTTCTTCTTTCCCTTTCCTCCTCTCTCTCTCTGTCTCTGTCTCACTCTCTGTACTGGAGCTTGAACCCAGGACTTCATGCTTGCCACCGAGCCACATATTTTGTTTTCTTTTGAGACCATTTCTTACTGATTTACCCAAACTGGCATCAAACTTGTCACCTTCCCGCCTCAGCCTCCTAAGTAGGTGGGTTGGTGGGTGTGCACTACCACTCCCAGCATGTTTTCAATTTCTTTAGTGATCAGTTTAAAATTATGTTGAGGTGAGGGCCCGGATTTAGCTCAGTGGCACCACACCTGCGTCACAAGTGCAAGGTCTTAAGTTCAATCCCTGGTACCAAACCAAACCAAACAAAACAAAAAAATAAAAATAAAAATAAAATTATGTTGAGGCCTGGAGATTTAGCTCAGTGGTTCTGCCACCTGCCTTGTAAGCACAAGGTCCCTAGTTCAATCCCTGGTACCAAAAAAATAAATAAATAAATAAATAAAATTATGTTGAAAGTATGCTATAAAAACCCATAAGATATCCAAGTCTATAAATGTGAATGTATATAAGTTTTTGCAAATTTGTTTCACATAAATTCTGTCATTCTCTTAACCTTTTAAAAAATTTGTTTTCTGACCCTTTTATGTAATTTTGGGTTTTTGTTTTTGTTTTGTGGTGTTGGAGATTGAACCCGACATGATAGTCAAGCACTCTGCCACTAAGCTACATTCCCAACCCCTAATATAATAATTTTATTCAATTCTTTTTTTCTCCTAGACTCTTAGTTTTATGTATCTGAGTATGTACCAGGAGTTTAAGGTACCTGACTAGTGCTAAGGACAAAGAGAATTGAGATAGAATCTATAAATTAAAATGTACTTTTCCCCTTAATATTTTGTTCTTCCATATCATATTCTTGCAGCAGATCATTGCTTGCAGATTTAAATTTTGCTGCTTCTTTCCAAGAGACATAAGAGGAAGACAAGTGTGTTATGTGATAGATCTTATTAAAAAATCAACTATTGGGCTGGGGATTTAGCTCAGTGGTTCCACCACCTGCCTCACAAGTGCAAGGTCCTGAGTTCAATCCCCAGTACCCCCCCCCCCCAATCAATGATTACATGTAAGGGTTTTCTTTCACTATTTTCATTTCATCTCCCCCCCACACACAATAGAATACTATACTGTCATAGTCATTTCTTTTGAGATAGAGGCTCATTGTGTTGTCCAAGCTGCCCTCAGATTCCTATGCTCAGATGATCTTCCTTCCTCAGCATCCCAAGTAGCTAGGACTACAGATACATGCTGCACTGGGCAGTTGATAGAATTTTTATTAACAGTACTGTACTGTTACTTTATATTTTTTGTTTTTATTAATATTATTATAACATGTCATTGATTTGGTATTTAATATAGACATATTCTGCCCTTTCTCATCATACCCAACTTTAATAAGTCAAAATGATGTGCTAGCATTTTAAGGACATTTTATGCTTAATTCAGTATTTCCCAAATTTATTTATTTATTTTTTATTGCTCTTTTATGTTTATTTTGTTTATGTAACTGATAATACTACAACACTGCTTTAATGTTCATATAATTTCAAAGCTTCATAGCATAAAACTCACATGTGAATAATAATAGTTATTGCTATGGAAATTCTGTTTATTTCAAAAGTTTCATATCAGATTTGGACCCTGGCTCAATATATTTTTGTTTATAAAATAATTTTCACTAGTTACAGCCCCTACTGGGAATATAATGTTACTAGTTTAAAGTATATGTTTGGTTTCTGTGCATTATAAGTTTATTTATAAACTTTCTCTCTAAAATGAATAATTTGATATTGAATAGAAAGATCTGATAAAAATTGTGCACATTTATAAATTCACAGTTTACCCTGCCACAACTTATATGTTGCCAAGAGAAGGCCTGTGGCTTAAAGTTTTGTCACATTTATAGTCACATAATTTCTCATGGGCATGGATTTTCAAATGTTGATTAAGGTGTGCACTCTGACTAAAGGCTTTCCTACATGCATTACATTTGTAGGGTTTCTCTCCTGTATGTGTTCTTTCATGTTGATTAAGATGTGTCCTCTGGCTGCAGGCTTTCCCACAAAAACTATAATTGTAAGGTTTCTCTCCAGTATGAAGTCTGTGATGTTCTGTAAGAGATGAGATGCGGCTAAAGGCTTTCCCACATTGATTACATTTATAGGGCTTCTCTCCAGTATGGATTCTCAGATGCTGAGTGAAGGAAGAATGTTGACGGAAGGCTTTCCCACATTCATTGCATATAAAAGGTTTTTCCTGTGTGAATTCTCTGATGTTGAATAAGATGTATTCTCTGGCTGAGTCTTTTCCCACATTCATCACACTTATAGGGTTTCTCTCCTGTGAGCACTGTCTGAGGTTGGGTATGAGACAAATTGTGGCTGAAACCCTTTCCACATTCACTGGGATTTTCTCCAGTATGAATATGATTAGTGAGAACACACTGATTGAAGATTTTCCCACGTTCATTATATTCATAAGGATTTTCTCTTACATAGTTTCCCTGGTAATAAATCAAGTCTGAATTATGTTTGATGCTATTTCCCGGTGTGTCATAATTAAGGGGTATTTTAATTGAAGGAACCCCCTGATGTATAATAAGGTTTGAGTTCATTTTATAGTTCTCTTCAAATTTGTTACCTTTAATGCTTCTTTCTTGTGTAATCTTTTGATGGATGAAAGATACTTGTCCCAAATGTCTCTGCTGGTTTTCTTGGTTAAATTCAAACTGATAATCAAAATCCCAGAGTCCTCCTAAGATGGAATACCAGAAACTGTCTTCTGTTAGTCTTTCCATAATGATGTCACAGGTTTGATTTTTATCAGAAGTATTCTGGTTTAGAGTTGATTTTTAAATTTTAGGTCCATTATCCTCATCTAGGTGAGCTCCCACAGGGTAGCCTCCTCCTCTCATCCACACCTCTTCCTGCTCCAGCTGAGTGATCATTGCTGGCTTATAAACCTGATGCCCCAGAGCAACCAGATTCCTGTAGTTCTCCAGCATCAGGTCTCCATAGAGGTTCTTCTGAGCAGGGTACAGCTGTTCCCACTCCTCCTTGGTGAAGTCCACAGCCACATCCTGGAATGTCAGGGATTCCTGAGACCTGACTCTGTGTGATCCATCATCCATTTCTCTCTCCTTCATGTTCCCTTCCTTTGGGTACCTGCGTTCAGGCCCCAGCAGAACTGCTACACCTCTGCAGTTCCTGTATGGCAGTGTCACCGATGCTTTGTTCTCCTCCAGCACAGCAGCTCAGTTGGAGGCGCAGCTGCACTGGCAGCCTCAGCGTCGCGGTTGGTCCTTGAGAGCTGGTTTTCCAGTCTGAATGTGGCTCCTGCCCCCAGTCATTTATATAGAGACTTTTTTCTCTGAGACTCAAATTTGTCTCCTGTCGGGGATCTCATGAGATACAATTTTAGGTTGAATACCTGTAATGAGATTCACCAGAGTTGGCAGAAGAAATTCCAAAGTCTTAGTCACTCAGCGACCTAAGGAGTATTTCACCTGCTTCTTCACTTCGTTCTTTCTGCGATCTAGAATCCTACATTAAGTTAGCTCTCCTTAGTGTCCTCTAATCTGTAAGTTTTTCAAGCTTTCTGTTTTTCACGAGGTCGACACGCCTCCATGTCCGCTGACCCAGGACAGGCCACTGTCTCCCACAATGGCGCTGACGCTGCCTCTCAAATTTATTTGACTTCAGGCCCCTTTTTGTGGGGAACATTTTTTTTTTTTGGTACTAGGGATCGAACTCGGGTCCTTGCACTTGTGCAGCAGGCAGCGAAACCACTGATCTAAATTCCCAGCCCTCGTGGGGAACATTTTACAGGATTAATGTTCATAGAGCACAATTTGAGAAATGTCATCCAATTAAAATTTGTAACTGATAGGCATTTAGCAAAGGCCAGTTTTTAAAATAATATTGAATGCTTTTTAGAGTCTTTTAAAAACCTTACAATATAAACACACACTATTTAATGTAAAAAAATTAGAAATACAGTGAACCACAATACATTTTAATAATCACGTCTCTTGTTTTGGTCCTCATATTGACTCTAGGCTCCAGGAAGTTATACTGGGTTAGTTTTAGGTTTAAATCTTCTGTTTTGTTTGAAATAGGGTCTTACCATGTTCATGCTGGCCTCAAACTCACATCCTTCTGCTTTAGCCTCCCTAGTGCTGGTATTACAGAAATGGTCCACCATGCCTAGCTTTTAGGTTTAAATCTTAAGGAAGGCTGGCAGCCTCCTTTTTATGCTTTTTATAACCCCAAGCCCAAAATAAGGGTCCAGGCCAAACTGATGGAGCAATTAGGGGAGAAAACCCTTAGTCTTTTTGTTTTCATGCCGGTTTTGTCTCCCTAGTGTCTAGATCGAAGCCTGGGAAATCATAGTTACAGAATGAAGGAGTGAGTGAATGAAAATGCATAAGTGAATTATAGGGATGCTGCATGACTTTTGTTCCGTTATGACCTGCTATAGTCATCCATTTCCTAGTTGACATGTTACTACAGATAGATGGAATGAAATAGCTTGTTTTGTTGGTAAAAATTTTTATTGTGGTAATATTATTTGACTGTATTTGGAAATGCAGATTTTTTTGTTTTCAAAACCAGGGTTTCATACATGCTAAGCATATGGTGTACCACTGAGCTATACCCCTAATCCTAAATTAAAGTTTTAAATTGAAAATTAAATTGAAGTTATATTGGGGAATAATTTTTTTTTCTGTTTTTATGATAAAAAAATGCTTTTAAAAAGCTATTATACTTATCTCCTATACTGTGTAGCACTATGGGAAATTTTGGACCTTTTAATATCTTGGTTATATTTTAAATCGAGAATGGTCATTTTAACACAAAATTATCATAGATTATGTTATATATGCATTTATTTTTTCAAAGTTTTATATTCAGTATATTAAGAATGTAATTTTTTGTTTTAAATTACTTGCATTCTTTAATTTTATAGGTCCATTCAAAAACTTGGTGAATTAAATATTGGAATGGATAGTCTTGGTAATGAGGTATCAGTGCTCAACCAGCAGTGTAATGGGAGCAAAGGCAATGGATCTAATAGTTCTTCTATGACTAGTTTTGCTACACCACCCCAAGACACCAGTCAGAGGTTAACGCGTGATGCCTCAAATATTCTCACAAGTACTCCCCAAAACCCTGGATCAACAAATCACATCCCTTTGCTTGAGGAGTCACCTTCTGGAAACCAAATGTAAGTGCTCAACTTTGTAAAACCTGGAAATACTAACTTCTTACTAAATAAAATTGAGCTTCTCTTTGGGGCCTTAAAAAGAAAAGTATTTAGAGCTCACTACCTCCAAAAGTTTTTTTTAACTGCCTTCATGTATCTACATTCTACCAACTTCTGAGTCTGTTTATAGTCATATTTTCCTTTTGTTTTTCTTTTTGCTTCCTTACCACCACCAAAGCAATTCTTTAAGCAATTTTATAAGCAATCTTACTCAGACATCGTGAAGTTTTAGAGTGTATCTTTTTCTTGATTTTCTTTTTTTCTTGCGGCCGGCATCTTTCAACAATCTTAAAACTCTCAGACTTTCAGTGCACAGGAAGATGTTTTATAACGTAGTAGAATGATTGCAGGAAAACAATTTTGGCAGCTCTGACAATGCTAGCAATTGAAGACTTTGCATGTTTTCACTGCCAGAAAATTTTTATCTTATTGTCATTAATAAACAAGTGTTAATTTATGCAATGGAAAAGGTTAAGGAGCATTTTCTTTTTTTAAAATTTTAGTTCATTAATTTTTTATTGGTACATTTTAGGTATACAATATGCTGACATTCATTATTAGGAATTTGTACCTTTACATAAAATATCTTGGCTCTTATTTTTTTCTCCATTCCCCTGCCCTCCCTTCAACCCCTCCACTCCTCTCTATTTACAAAGACTTTGTTTCTATTTTTAATTTTTCTCATATTTATTCCTTTCCCTTCTTTCCTTTCCTCTATTCTTCTCACTTCCCCTTCCCTTTTGCACCTTTTCTTCCTATTTCACATTATCTATTATACATTCTGATCCTTATTCACACTTTCAGTTTCTTATACCAGAGAAACTATTCAGTATTTACACACAAGTGTCCTATTTATTTCACTTAATAGTATCCCCTCTATGTTCATCCATTTAGCTGTATATGTCTCTAGTTTCTTATTTCTATGGCTCAGTAGTACTCTATTTTATATTTTTAAAAACCCCACATTTTCTTTACCCAGTCTCCAGTTGATGGGCAGTTGGGCTGTTTCCAAGATTTAGCTATTACAAACTGTGCCACTATGAACATGGGTGCACATATATCACTGTGGAATGATTCTTTTAATTCTTTTGGGAAGATACCCACTAGGGTTAAATGGGACCTCCAATCCTAGTTTTTTGAGGTATCTCTATACTGATTTCCACAGTGGTTGCATCAGTCTACACTCCCACCAACAGTGGAGAAGGGGTTCTTTTTCCCCACGGCCCTGCTAGCATTTGTTATTGGTTGATTTCTTGATAGTAGTCTTTCTTTCTGGAGTGAGGTGAGATAAGAAAACAATCCAAAAATTCATTTGGAACAAGAAGAGACCTAGAATAGCAAAAGGAATTCTAGGCAGCAAAGACAAGGTAGGGGGTATCACAGTCCCCAACCTGAAACTATGCTACAAAGCTACTGCGATAAAAACAGCATGGTACTGGCAAAGAAACAGACTGAGGACTGGTGGAAGAGAATAGAAGATGCAGAAACAACTCCAGACACACTCAGCCACCTCATCTTCAACAAAGGAGCCAAAC